TTCTTCCTCCTGGACCCTAGGAGGGGGCTGTGCTCACCCTGGGAACAGTGCCACGGTCAGGATCTCTCAGGATCTCGACTCCTGGGTAGCTGCTGAGGACCCCTCCCCCACCCTCTGACTCACTGTCTGACACTTTTCTTGGACTCTTTCACTATCTTTCATTCCTTTTTCCGACTTGGCCTCTCCTTGTCTTTGACTCAATCTTTTTGTCTCATCTCCTGCCTCTGCCTCTCTCAGCCTCTGGATTCTCAGAGGAACAGGAGCTCGAGGGGCTCTTCCCACCTCAAAGGAGTATCAGGGAGAAGATGATTTCTCATTTTATTCCAGGTCTGCAGATCTTTGAAGGGTTCATCACTAGAACCTGCAGCAGGGCCATAGCTTCCCTGCATCTGTTTCCCTGCCTGTAGCCTTGGAGGTTAAAACCTCCTCACCTTAAGTTCTCCTTCTGTGGACATCCCTGAGGCAGAGCCCTGGTGTCTGGCTTGAGCCTGCTTCCTTGACATCTCTCTCCATCTGTTTACTCTTGGGGAGTAGGGAGCCTCCTGAGATGCCTATGTTGGCACCTGCCTGCAGCCTGAGAGCTTCCCTCTGCTGCCCTCAGAGTCATCCCTTTTGAGCACCATTCTTGCTTGAACCCTCTGGAACAGGCTGGGGGATGGGCATGTGGCTCCCCCTGCTTAAATTAACCATGGCAGGAGCAGGAGAAGGTTATGCTGACTTATGCACAGCTACTTCATGTGCATAAAGATTCTCTCTGTGTCCATACCTGCTATGCATATGCAATGCCAGACTGCCCATTCTTTGTCAGGTGCCCTCTCTGTGCCAGACTCTTTTCTAAGCATGGGACAGTGACCGCCAGGCAGAGGTACCCCTCACCCTTCTGTGAGGCAGATGAGGAGTGAAGCCGTTGCAGTATAGTCAGATAAGGACTGTGATGGGGCCATTCAGGGCCTGTGGGAGCTGTCTTAGTTCAGGCTGCTATAACAAATACATTATAGATAGGATGGCTTAAACATAAGAAATTTATTTATCACCTTTCTAGAAGTTGGGAAGTCCCAGATCAAGGAACCAGCCAGCCCGGTGAGGGCCCCATTCCTGGCCTAATTACCTCCCAAAGGCCCCACCTCCAAATACCATGACATTGGGGATTCGGCTTTAACATACGAATTTTGGTAGGGTACAAATACTCGGTCCGGTCCAGTCCAGTCCATATCAGGAACCCAGAGAGGCAGGGGTAAGGAGTGGGGGATTCAGAAGGCACCTTTGGAAATGACTTCCGAAAGAGAATGAGGCTGGGTTGTTCCAGCTAGCTTGTGCAAAGGCTGGGAGGGGAGCAGGGATATGGACATCAGGGAAACTGCAAATTGAACTGGAGACTAGAGAGTGGGATGGGGAGAGTCTTACAGGATGAGGCTGGAGGAGAGGCAGCAGCCAGGCCTGCTTCAGCCTCTGGGAATTCTGGACTTGATCCTGAGGGCAGGCTTCCCTAAGGGGAGCTGCAGAATGGTTCTAAAGATGGGAGTGGCAGGTATATGTGTGGTTTAATAAGATCATTCTGGCTGCAAGGTAAAGAATGGCTAGGGGGAGAGGGCAGGAGAAGAGTAGGGGACATGGGTAATAGCAGTGGGGACAGAGACATGATAAGGGAAGTAAACTTTTTAAATTCATGGTGACCTACGTAAAATGCATAAAGTATACAAGTCTTATGTGTACAACTAGATGAATTTTTTTTTTTTTTTTAGAAGATGACCGGTAAGGGGATCTTAACCCTTGGCTTGGTGTTGTCAACACCACACTCACCCAGTGAGCCAACCGGCCATCCCTATATGGGATCCAAACCCGTGGCCTTGGTGTTATCAGCACCACACTCTACCGAGTGAGCCACGGGCCGGCCCGACTAGATGAATTTTTACAATTTTAGACTCATGTAACCACCACCCAGATCAACACAGAACATTTCCAGGACCCCCACCCCAAATTTCGTTCATACCTCTCCCCAGTGGGTTCCCTTCCCTTCCTCACTATTCAGACTTGTATCATCCCTGATTGATTTTGCCTTTTCTTGCATTCATTCCTGTGTGTATTTTGTGTCTCACTTCTTTCACTCAACATGATGTCTGTGAGATTCATCTGTGTTGCGGGTATCCAGGAGCTCATCCTTTTTTTCTTTCTTTTTTTTTTTTGCAGTGTAGAATATGATGTTCACTCAGTGCTTATCACTGTTCTAAGAACTTGCCAGGTATTGATTCCTGTAAACCTCCCAACCCTGTGAGGTTTTAAGAGAAAGAACTGGAGATACAGAGAGGTTAAGGAACTTGCTCAGGATTACCTAGCCAATTAATAGTCGAGCCAGAGTTCAAAGGCAGACAGCCTGGTTCTGGTGCCAGAGTTCTTAACACTATGCCAGGTGGCCTCCATGACACCTCCTAAGTCTGTGTCTGGCCTTGTGTGGATTAAATGAATTTATGTGGGCTTCCACGCCTGGGTGCCTGGATGTAGATGGAGGGAGAGGGAAGAAGGAGTGGAGGATAGCTGCAGGTTTCTGGCTGGAGTAACTGGGTGGGTGGCAGTGCCGTTACTAAGATAGGGAACACAGGAAGAGGAAGGGGGGGGGGGGGGGGGACAGAGATGAGGGGTTCCATTTGGGTCCTATGGAATTTGGTGTTTCTAGGGATGGCCAGGCAGAGATACCAAGAAGGCAGTTGGTCCTGGGGGTGGGTCTCGAGCTTCTCGGGTATGCGATGAGGGAGGCATTCAGCACCCCGTAGCCTGCATCCAGAATTTGGGAAAGGATGGGGTCTCCCAGCAGGACTGTGGTGGGGACAGGATGTGTAGGTGTTGTTTGTCCACGTGTGTTTCTGTGCATCTGAGTGTCTGTGATCTGTGTGTGTGTGTGTGTGTGTGTGTGCATGCCTGGCTCTGGGTCATGAGTCTCCTGGGAGAGCCTGCAGGTCAGCTGGGAGCTGGGTTGTTTTTGTTTGTGGTTTGACCTGGGGGTGGGGGGGTGCCAAACCCAAGAAACTCCCCACTGAGAAGCCCCCGGAAACACCTGTGAGTCCTCTTCCCTCAGACCCAGGGTGGGGGATTGGCCAGGGAGGGGGATTTTCTTGCTTCTCTCATGCCTGCCTGGGGGAGGCTGTCCCAGGGGTGAATTTTATCCAGTTAGTCGGTTGACAGCACCTCCTCCAGGATTCAGGGACTTCATGGGAGGCTTGGAAGAGGGGGAAGGGGTGTTTATAAAGGACACCTGAGTAGTGGAGACTAAGACAGCCTTCTGGTTGGTTTTTCCTGTTCTCTCTCATTTCCTGTGATGGCAGTGGGGGAGGGGTTCCCCAGCACTGGGGCCCTGGCTTCGTTTCCCCTTCCTGGTGACCTCCCGGAGGCCCAGCCCTGAGTGCAGCAGGACTGAGCAGCAAAGATAAGGTAGCTGTACTCAGCCCTTAGGATTGAATCCTCTGGGGGTTCCCAAGCCTTGAGAGGGGCTATTATTTGCTGAAGCATTCAGGCGAAGGAGCCCCTCCACTGGGATAAGGAAAGCCTGGCTGTGGGAGTCTCGGTTACACTCTTGTTGAGAGCTAAGACCCTCAAAGCAAGATACAATGGTGTGTCCTAGGGTGCTCCATGTCATGAAGTTATAGACAGGGGGAAATATCGGACATCATCTTGGGCGGTCAGTTTCACTAGAAGAGTTTTTTTTTTTTTTTTTTTTTTTTTTTTTTTTTTTTTTTTTTTTTTTTG